AAATTCTCTGCATTTATGTACATCTTCATTTTATGAGAAATGTTTGTTTAAAGCAATGTTTTTACTAGCGTTTCATGCATTCTTGCGCATTGGCGAAATCACGAGCACAACCAAATCTTCTACCATCCTACCATTAGCAGCTATACAATTGGAAAAATATCCAAATGCCAAACCAAAAAAAATGACATTAACATTAACAAACTTCAAGCATCATCAAGGCAAGCCCCCTGTGACATTTCAAATTGCCACAGACACTGAAAAACCAGAAACTTGTGCAGTGCTAGCAATGTTTGATTATTTGCATGTGAGAGGTGAGGAGGATGGGCCTCTTTTCATGCTTAGGGATCAATCGCCTATTACACGCCATATGTTCAATGAACAGTTGAAATTTTCTCTTACATTTTTGGGTTATGATACGAAAATTTATAAAGGTCATTCTTTTAGAATTGGTGCTGCATCATGGGCTAAATCAAAAGGAGTTTCTGATGACCAGATTCAGCTACTAGGAAGATGGAAATCGGAAGCGTTCAGAAGATATATTCGAATTCCTTTGTTAAAGCTATAACAATAAGCTTTATTATGGTAAACAATGCAAAGCAAATACGAGTTAGTAAATGATTACATTGTTTCTTCTGTACCAATTCTTAGATTAATGAAAAACTAGGCAAGAATGTAAATAACTTTTTCGTAAAGATTGATGACTTTTACATTAAGAAGATTTGTAATTAATACTGAATTTGTAAATTTATTTAGTGCACATGAACTTATGTACAAATGTTGGTTCTGAATATGTACAAGTTGGATATGAGGACAGGGGCCTTTATCCAAAGTTTTACATTTAGTGATTGAATAGAAATATTGCTAAATTGCATATGTTGGCAAAACCTTTTTAAGATATCTGGTTGAATATAAGAAAAAAACTTTAGCTTATATATATTGGTACATTGTATAATGTTTGGAAGTTAAAAGGCAAAAAACAAAAGTGTTGTTACACACATGATGTTTGTAGAAGAATGGTTCAACATGGTATGAAGATAGGAGCCAAGTTTCACTGTGCTTGTTTGACTAATTATGATGTTGGATATGAGGTCAGGGGCCTTTATCCAAAGTAAATTTTTTTTTAATAATTACAAGGTTGGATTGTCGAATTTCTTAATTTTGAAAAGAGCATGTTTTATATTGTGTCATTTGGTATCTTGTGTGTGCATTACATTGCTTTTTCATTGTTCATTGTTGAATTAGGTATTTATTAAACATGCTTTGATGTGGGTTCACGTAACACCCATGCTTTAGACATTACATCAATGTAATTTAGAAATTGTTTTTGCCATAAAATCTAAGTCATTATAAACATGTTCTAGTCAATTTTTCTTTTATTTTGCTAATCTCGCCCTGTTGCCCACAAAACTATTGGGTGGGGGGTATTACTAATCAGTCATACTTATTAGTAATACTTTGGCTGGTTTATTGGTCCCCGCCTTTGATTTTGCAATAATCATTGAACTAGTCAGATGTTCCTCAGAGTGTATATATTGTAAAGTTTTACAAAGTACATTAAGTTAATTTTGCTTATGGAGTGTTATTAACTTTTCTTACAATTAGTATTATACTGCATTAGTAGTTTCGTCATTATGTTAATAAATGACCTTTTTCAATTCAAATTGTGTTTATCTCTTTGCTGTTAATCAAACGAAGCTAATAGTTTTGCTTGGGCGAGATGACAAAAAAATAGCTGCAGTGATTTCTTGAAATAATCAATACATTGAATTACAATCACTCTAAACTTAAAAACATGACTATTAAATCTATATGTACATGATACTGAAAGCTTTTGTATAAGAGTCCTGTAAATAATAATCAGTTATTTTTTAAATGTCTAATTTTTAAGTATTGAGGAAAAAAGGACATTTAAAGCTTATGGTGTTTATTTAATTTTAGTGGATGACCACTTGTATGCTAGACCTGTGCACATGGCTGGTGTGTCAGTTACAACTCAAACCAACCTTGACATGAAGGGGATATCTGACATTAAGGATAACAGCTTCCTTGATAGAGGGTACACAAAGAGAAGACTATTGACAGATGACATATTCAAAGATGACAAGTCCTGTAAATTTTATACGGGTTGATGAATAGTTTTCTTATATATTGATAAAAAGTTACTTCTGAATTTTTATTCCACAATTACCTTGAAACTGTCTGGTGACTAATGTGCATAATTTATCTAAAACAATCATGCAGTTCTGCCCTAAGTACATTCATACTCAGTATATGCTTTAATTAGTTAATTAATGTAAAATTATGCTTTAATCCACAAGACTATCACTGGCTGTGTTTACAATCATCTTCAATGTGTTGAAGTTAAAGGCATCCTCAATGGTATACTGGAACAGTACTGAAACAAATGAACGTCAGGATTCCAAGGTACATGTAATTAACTGTCTGCTTATTTGTTATCTAAGTCAGTTTAGTATTAACTTTACTTTCATAGAAAACGTTTTTCAACATTATTTCTTTAGTACTTATAAATTTTAAAGCTTTAACCAGCTTGTAATCAGTAGTTTTTCCATTGTAATGTTATTGATTTCTAAATAACAGAATCTCCCATCTTTACAGACTCCTAGAAGAGGACCCATATATATTATTATAACAGTAACTTGATCCGAAGGGTCGTATCACGTCTCGTTGACAGGCGCTGATCATCAGATCTAACGAGACGCGAAGCGTCGAGTTTGATCTGATGATCCGCGCCTGTGAACGAGACGTGATACGGCTCTTCGGATCAAGTTACTGTTATAATGATAAATTTATGATATACCCCCTTAAAACTAGCTAAATATAGCAGGATAAAACTTTAGAGATCAATTGTATAATATTTATCCAAAAACAAAGCATAATAGCAAGGGACTTTTTAACGCGCAAGAAAAATAACGTCATGTTTTTGCGTACTACGTCATCAGTTTCAGAGAGTGGTGATATGGATTCAGAAAACCACAGTGTGGTGATCCGGAAAATCGGATCAAAATCTGTAAAATTAACAGTAACAAAAACAAGGAAATTGATGGGTATATGATAAAAACGCTTATTGTCACAATACATTTAAGTGTCTTGTAGCTATAACTCCCACAGGTTGTTCTTTCTGTTTTGTCTCTGATTTACATACTGGTAGTATATCTGACAAGAAAATTGTTCATGATTATGGTTTTTTTGGATAATATTGAATTTGGCGATGGCATTATGGCTGATCGTGGGTTTCTCATTAGAGGTGAATTAGCAATGAAGGGTGCCACGTTAAACATTCCTTCATTTCCTTTTGGAAAGCAGTTAGGCAGCAATGCAACAACTAAAACTAGGAGAATTGCACGAGCTAGAATCCATGTAGAGAGAGCGATTGGACGTTTAAAAAACTATACACTTTTGCAGGGTGTTATTGCACTCCATATGAAGCCTGTTTACAATCAAATTCTAAGAGTGTGTGCAATGTTATGCAACCTTGACTCTCAACTTGTAAAGTGAGTATATATGTAGCCCTTTTCACAAAAAGAATTGTTAAAAATTTTAACTCAAGAATCTATGCACTAGCTTTTCAAAAATGTATGCACAAATGATAAGACTTTTATTTCACATTTTCAATTTTTTTTTACCTTATAGCAACTATATCTCAAGACACTTTATAACCATGTATTGAAAGCACATTTGATGCTGAATGATAAAGAATTGATATTTTACAATACAAATAGTTATATCAAAATCCATTGCATGACCACACATATTGAATATAAATCAGAGTGAAATATGAATAATAGAAATATCTTAATATGTCACAATTATCAAAACAGCTTTTTGTGTGTAAAGGGCTATAGGTAGCTGGGCACTATACATTGATATATGACATGTGTATAATATATTCATTAATATCTGAATTCCTCATAATAAATAACATAATGATAATCTTAGTGTTGATATTTCAGTATTTATTGATTTCAACATATACAATGTTCAAAATATAAATATATATATATATACTAAGCCATGAATGTTTAAAAAAAATATTTCTATCTCAAGTATCAACTTGCACCAACTTGCATGTATTCATCATGTACATACCAGCAATTATTACTTTTGCATAAAACACCTCATTATATGATGTTTAAAAAATGTTTCAAGTTTGTTGAGCATTGTATCAAAAAAGTAAGGATCAAACTCGGCCTGAGCAACACAGATTCCCTTTTTGTGTAAAGAATGAGAATGGATTGATGAATGCCATATATACCCATTTGACCTTGAATTTGATGATAGTATTCAGAGTTTTCAGTAACAATGATTTCACCTTTCTTATTGATGACACAACCTTTTCTGAGACACACTTCTTTTGGATCTTCATTTCTTAAGCTAAATGGGCATTTTACCTCAAGAATATTACTATCATGGAATTTACATGTGAAAAGACCATCAAAAGAACAACCAATGGAATTCATGGTAGGATGTATTCTTAAACCTTTATGTGACAAACGGGGATGAAGATGTGATTTACAACATACTTTTATAAAAAGCTGAAGGGCTGCTACCTCTTTCTTTTTACCTCACAGTAAAGATAAAGCAGTGATTTCACCATATTCACCTAAAATAGTCTTAAGAAGTGAAGGTTGACATTTGTTAGCATCAACTGCTTTACAAACTTTACAAAAATTAGATGCAGTCAGTCTGTCTTTCCTGAGCTCATGCCAAGTCTTGCTGTCATACTATTCAGCTGTGCATGACTCAATGTGTGCAATATTATCATTAGAAAGATAACATAAATTCACAGGGTCATTTGCAGCAGTAGATTTAACATTTCTCAGCATGTTTTAGATGGTAAAAACAGTACATTTTTGACATGGTTGATCACAGTCACCTGTAACATTCTCTATTGGTTTTTGTACCTCAAGAATATCTAGGGCTTGTATATTGGGGGATATCTGAAATTGGGAAACAAAAATAAATTGTTCATTAAAAGTTTTAAAGAGAACATATCAATATACATTTTTTAATGAAACTGAAAGAACAGTTTTTTTCTTAATTGATGCCTCACTTGCCATCAAAAGTCACACAGACAAAAATATTTGAACTTCTTTATCCTTTATAGTATTCATCTTGCAAAATACCTTATATTGTACAACATAAATGAATGATTCATTTTCATTCAAGAATAGAAAATTGCTTGACTTTTCAATTTCATTCAGTTTGAAAAATACAAAACACTATAAGCAAAAACTATACAATTAAAAGAAAATACCTCTCGAAGACTTCTAGCTATTTTAGTGATTTCCATTTCTGAGTAATTCTGCCTTTGATCCACACTGCGAGGGTCAAAATTGTGTGCATCAGATTGGTTATATTCCACACCTGTATACCTGTAGTTAAATTTGTAGAGAGCAGTAATTACTTTGTGTTTGGGAGGTTTAAATGTAGACTATCTATTTATGGAGCTTATTCAAATAATCAACAGCTGCAGAAATCACTTATATGAAGACGTTAAAATTATACAAGGATTTATACAAAATTTAATAATTTATCAATTTATACATGAACCTTGCTTTCATGATCTTTAGTTGCTTGATGGGAACTGGGCAATCATGTTTTCGTGGTCGTTTAGCCCATAAATTGCCCCCATCCGCGACTGACTTGACTTCGAAGGCTTCTATTTCGTATAAAGTTGCTCCAATGTGACGACATCCACCATCAGCTCTGTAGAGAAAAAGTTTGAAATTTAGCTTTTACACATTCTGTTGGACTACATTTTTCTCAGCCATAACACTGTATTATAATTGTATACATACATCACATGTAACAACCACGTAGCATCGATTTTGAAAGTGGAGGGGCCAGCCAGAGAAAAATTTTTTTTACTCACCTGAAAAAGTTGACAAGCAGAAAAAAAAAATGAAAATTGGCAAATTCGAGGGGGGGGGGGGTGGGTTAGGGTAGCTTTTTTTCCAATGACAACTTCCTTCGGTACCAATTTTTTATACTAAATTTTCCTCACCATAGAAAAGTGTGGGGGGGGGGGGGGCAACCAACCTTTCAAAGAACATTTCCTATAGTATAAGTAAAGTTGGGGAAAAAAGTGGGGGGCCAGCCCCCCCCCCCCCCCCCCGGATGCTACGTGCCTGTGTAATACACATGTGACTAATTTGAATATACATGTATGGGATTTGGTTTAAGAACCTATACTGTATGCCTGGAGTCACTTAAATTTCATTACTCAACAATCATTATGCAACCAAAAAAAGATTAATTAAACTTACTTATTGTGTTTAAATAATTATTAATTTAACCTGTTCATATGTTTTATATATATACATACCCACCAATGCATGTGCAGTACGCACATTTTACATTTCCGTTTTTTGCCATGATGACCCAAACATCGTATGCAGTCTTATTTAGATAAGTCTTATCCTTCTGTGTTGGCTTAACAGAAGACTTGATATGGTAAAGGTCTTGATCATCAAGTTCTTTCATTTCCAACTGCTCTACATAGCCATCGAAAAAAAAATCTGTAATCCTCACAAGACTTGTAAGCTTTTAATTTACCTTGGTCATAGTTTATAGTCTTATATAATAGATAATTAAATACATCATAGAGCAAAAATGTTGGTAGCTTTGTTAGATCATTTGACAGCCCCTGCATCCGGAAGGGATCTTCTACTGAGAATTCACTAAGAATATCATGCACATACAGAGGCTGATCGGAGCACATATCGGGGTCATCTGGCAAATCGAGCTTTACAACTGCATCACACAGCCTCAATAAATCCATACGTTTCAATTTTGAAACAGAAATCCCCTTCCTTTTCAAGAATATCTGTAACTCGTCAACTTCATACGCTGAAAACGGTGTAGTAGCCATTGTATCTAAAGACGCTGTGTCCGGTATCACGTGACTTTGTAAAAACTAAAGGTTAAAACCGGACAGGATAGAATGTTTATGAAAAAAGCCTATTTTAGGCCACTTTCAAACCAATTTACAGGATATGAAGAAAAATGGCACATTTTATGACGTCATAATGCATTGAATGAAGGGAAACTTACGTCATATTCAATAGATACATGGTCACCAACAGTTTAAGTGATAAGTACTGCATTTCAACCTAAACCGAGCGGTTTTGATTTTCCAGCAATTATCATGGCCAAAAATGCCCTAAGTGGCTTTTACATTTTCATTTAGATTCTACCATTGTATGAAGATAGAATACTGAAAAATGATAATTTGACCTTATAATGTTTTATTTTTATTTTAGGAAGAATTGCTATACTGAGCTTTCGTAATTACTCTCATAAACTTATCTATACATTTTATCATTACTTAATATGACTATTTATTGTATTTGCTGTGAAACTTATTCATTTGACTTCTTTTTTTCTTTTTTTTTTTACATCTAATGAACTATTTTCATGATTGTGAAAAAAGCATGTTTGTATTTCCCGTCCATCATAAAATATATGCAGATAACAAACAGTAGTCAAGCTCAAAAATCGATTAGACAATACAATTTTTGGAGAAGAGCAAACACTAACATCTAATGCACGAAAGATGGGATCAGGTTCCATGGAGGAGTGAGCAGCCATACATTTACTTATGAAGTCCTTTTGCAGTCCTTTCCCAAATCTGAAATGTACGTTCCTCAACTTTTTAAAACTACATACCATAAATAAACAAAATAAATAATCATCAAAATATTTTTCTCTATTGCACAGTTTTTACCCATAACCTGGATACATTTGAAGAGAAGCTCCTCGGTTGAAGGGGGAGTGATGATTCTTCGTGCAATATTCTAACTGAGGGCAGATATACATTTATTTCATATATTAAAAGTAAAGTTGTTTTAACTGAATTCTTTATTCCTGCATAATTTCACTGCTTAGAAAGGAACAGTTATTTTTGCTTACCTAGATATTAATATACATGTAGCATCACAAATATTTTGGAAGATTTTGCAATCTTACTGTTTTTTTTGATGACTCATCATATTTCCCATGACCGGTCACGGTAGCCTAGTGGTAGAGCGTTCTCTTCGTTCGCGGGGCCGCGTCAAACCTAAGGTGTAAACAAAGGTAGTGACTGTTCCTTCGCCAAGCGCTCGGCACTAGAAGTGAATTTCACGGGTCTTTCGGATATGACCTTTAAAACGTAGGTCCCGTGTCACGGTAGGCGTTGGTACGATAAAGAACCCTCACTGCTCAATGGCCCTGAGTGCCGAGTATAGGTCTAAATTTGAAGCCCTTTACCGGCAAACGGTGACGTCTCCATATGAGTAAAAACTTCTCGAGTGGGACGTTAAATAATATACATTCAATCAATCAATCATACTTCCTATGATCTTCTGTATGTTTTGCGGAAGCTAGAATACTGAGATCCCTAAACTTCATCTCCGTAATGATACAAGTTGAGCTTTTCAAAAAAGCTAACCGTTTTCAGCAACAATCCTAAACAGTAAACTGATCTACACCTATCAGGCCGTATATTTCTTTTGAATTTTGTATTTCTATACATAAGCTTTTTACTGGCATTAGCCCAACCAAGGTGGTCGCTCGGTCATCTCCGTAAACTTTGACTGGCCGAGAGCTTTCGGCAAACCTCGGCTGTTCTTCAACATACAAGAAAGGAGAAAAGAATAATAAGAAATTGCAAGGCCTGCAAGCTATAAAAATCAAATTTTATTTATAATGAAATTAAAGAGACCTTTTTTATTTATTGCTTTAAAAAATACCATGTTATTAAAAATTAATTACTGCTGATTTTGCTGTTCGTTTTGTCATTTTTTTAAGATTGGAAATCTTGCAAGATTGTTAAGTCGTACGAAAATTAGATCATCAGAAAGTTGTCTCCCTTGCCTTGAACAGCATTTCAACCAATGAAATAATTGAAAATTTTCTCATCATGCAATTTCTACCAATCACAAAAGAGAGGAAGTGCATAGTCCGAAGACTGTAAAAAACTCCAACTATACTATACCGTCTTCCAAGGAAGACGGTAATAAAAAATTTTAACGGTACAATGCGCAAAAATCCTTAAAGAAAAACACTGCAATCTCTATATAAATGATTATTTGCCCTTTCCCGACCGACTGTCTAAAAATAGTCCGACTCAAAATTGTTTTTTCAACCTGCAGGAATTAAGATATTTTTTCAATTCTAATCTCAAATTTTCCAAATCTGCGAACATGTATTTTGAAATTTTCTAAGAAAAAGATTTTTTCAACCTATAAGTACTGATGATCAGATCGACCCAATATTTTTTCCAAAAGTCGGGAGAGGACAAGGAACATTATTTTAGAGATTGCCCTCTGCAATTTTCCTTAGAGCTATCTTCCTTAATCCTGTTTTACACTTCAAGAAAACGAGTCAGTATCCGAGTTAATTAATTACTAACTTTAATACATCTATGATACCAAACTAACAACATTTTTTTAAATTTTGTGTGCCTGTGTGAAACGAAAAGTAACTAGTGCCGGGAGAGGTTTTTATTTATTTTGAAAATTCCAACATTATTTAAACATTTTTTGAATCAGTACGCATTAAAATCAGTATGCATTAAAATTCGTGATTATCTCTCAAAATTCTTCTTACCTTTAACGTCACAATAACTGTTGAAACATTTCTTGCTGCAGCGACGTCCCGCAAAATAAAAGGAAGCTAAAATTCCCGTGATAAAGAAAACTAGAGGTACTGTGAGCAATGGGCTCACTAAATGATACCCCCCGCTTCCCATATGTGTATAAATGGCAGTGTCCATGTTTTGCTATGGGAAACCCAAAATATGTGTCGGATCAAAAAGTAAAATAGGAGGTGCACAATGGCAATATGTAATAAAGATTCTGTGAAAGTTTCATCAAATTTCATTCAGTGGTATAAGAGGAGTTGCGGATAAGAGATGGGTACCCCAAAGCGTAACAGACGGACGGACAGACGGACGGAATTAACGATTACTATATACCCTCCCGCTTTTCAAGCGGGGGGGGGGGGTATAATAAGGCGGTCCATTTTATAAGTACTTTATGACAAGACAACTGTGCCCCCTCCCCCTCCCTCTAAGCACAATTCTTGCAAAACAACCTAAGATATAGGATCTTCATCTATCAAATTTTTCAATTGCGAACAAATGCTGTATGGCCAATACGCTAGGATGAATCAGGTACCTTTTCTTCACTTTAAATTTACAGTCATATGTTTTATTCTGTATATTTCATTCCTCATCTTGAATAACTGAGCTTTGAATTTTTTTTAGATTTTGAGGATAGCATTTTAATTGTTAACTAGGCCTAATTGTAACGGGAACCGTTACAAATGTTCCCCAAAAGCTCCCCAACTTCCTTTTTGGTGCCTTATTTCCTTTGAGTTTCGTTAAATAAGACGAACTCTATGCCGTTTAGACTATAACAATGTTTTTCCAGAAGTATATTAAGTATATTCAAATTTATGCATTGCACGCGTGCGCATTTGAATGCATGTGCGTAATGAACATATCATCTTGTTTACACTATTTAAATATTTTAATATACTAGAAATTACAGCATTTAATCCAGAAGTATTAAAATATACGTTTAATCTAGTGTACTTGTAATTTCACTCATTTCACGTGCACGCACGTGATGCATGTGCATGATGACCATACCTTTTTGTAGGAGTCCCTTATGTCTATCTATGTTCTAAATCCCATACTGTTTGGTTGATAACCAAGGAACTTATAACCATTTAAAGCTTAAGCCAATCAGATTGCAGCGCACGTGAAAGCGCGTGATTTCATGAAAAATATTAGATATCAAATTGTAGGATATTCTAATGCATGACTATATTTTAAATATCAAAGCATTTCGTTAAAAAGTAAATAAGATATTGAGAGTTTTGTTTCAGCCAATCAGAGTGAAGCACACGTGCATTCACGTGCATGCCTATGCATGATGACCATACTTTATTGTAGGAGTCTATAATGTCTATGCATGCTCTGAATCTCATCATGTTTGGTTGAAAACCAAGGAAGTTATAGCCATTTAAAGTTTTAACCAATCAGATTGCAGCGCACGTGCATGCGCGTGTTTTCGTGAAAAATGTTACATATCATACTGTAGTATATCTTCATGCATGACTATGTTTAAAATTTCAAAGCATTTCGGCAAAAAACAAAAAAGATATTGAGATTTTTGTTACAGCCAATCAGAGCGCAGCGCACGTGCATGCGCGTGAGTTCGTGCTAATTTGACCATGTCATATTATCTACACTGTTAATGTATCCTTATATAATGAGTTTAAAAGTATTTCATCAAAAAATGTAAAAGTTATGGCTATATAAAGTATATCAGTCATTTCACTCATTTCACGCGCCTGCACGTGCATGCGTATGCGCGCAAAATGACCTTCGTTCCGCATACCTACACTACACACCTATTAACCCTAGAAAGGTTTTAGCTCAAAAAAGTACCGGAGAATAAAGAAGAAAAAAAAAGAAAAAGAAGAAAAATAAGAAGAAGAAACCGAGTAAAAACAATATGTTCCCAAATTCCGTTTGAGGAACATAATCAGATTTGTATCCCGTTTTGAATGTTAATACCAATTTATAAATTTAAAATTATGAGAATTATTTTACCGATTTCCTTTTTTGAAAATATATCATTCTGCATGTGTAATCTTTTAATCTGTCAGTCTGTCCCACTTGGTTTTCCGCACTTTTTTTTCTAAAAGCTGGCAGATATTGAGCTGATTTTTGGTAAGTGGGTGTATCTTGATGAGTTACAGATCAAGTTTGAATATCGTTCCGATTCAGTGATTTTTTACGGAATTATGGC